GAATCTTGGAGAATCTTTGTAACACAAACATCCCCGTTTAGAAACACTGGCTCCAAAGGCAGTCTCTCTGTGTACATGTGTGAAAATATCTTTTTCAATAAGGCCCTTAACTTTCAGGGGAAAATATATATTATAATTGAAATGGTAGTTTTTAATGTAGAACCTACCAGAAAGCGTTTGCATCCACTCCTCTTTTCATATCCTTAATCTTCTTTATGATGATTATTCTTCAAAACAATGCATGACTAAATTCCCAGGGCGCAGGTGGCTGATGATCGCGGATTTTTCACATTGATGGATTGGATATCTTATCAGCTGTTTAAAAAGTCTCAATTTATAATGGACAACCTTTAGGATATAAATTAAGAAAGGTGGTAAAGGAAGTCTTCTATTTGATAGAGTTTGAAATGAAACCCAGTTAAACCCCATAATTTGACATACATCATGAATAGGGTTGCGCAAAATATATATTAATTTATTATTATCATTATTATCACTCTTATCATCATTATTATTATTATCAATATTATCACTATTATTATTATTATCGTTATTATTATAATTTTCATATTTATCATACGTAGATAAGTATAAGTAGAAACTTATCTTTGTTTAATATTAAAAACTTACTTATCTGCTAAAACCATAAATTCAGGATCTATCTTAGACTCCTAGACAAAATTATTAGTTATTATAAACATAAATGGATTCCACTTTAAAATCCGAAAAATAAATTCTCAGAACTTGAAAATTGTTTTTGAACCTGGAACTAAGTTGTCAACAGCCGGGTAAATCAGGTTTATTTCTGGAGTTTGAATTTCAAAATCTGAATTTAAGCTGGGAAAATTTCAGTCAACAAACGGAAATTTTAAAAATAACAGGAAATTCCGGAAAGAAACGTTCAGTTTCAACTAATTAACGGAACGAAATATCCTATTTATTTTAAAAATGAATGAATACGTATTTAAATAGTTAAAACGTTCTTCTAAAAGACCCTTCAATTAAGTTATAGGTTTGTAGAAATCCACAAACCATTAAAAAATGTATAAATATCACGAATTACGAGAGAAATCTTTAAAATCATATTATTATTATGTATTACCCCTGGCATAGACGGGTTCATCACAGATTCTAGTGCTCTAGAGAGCAGGTCCGATTGCTTCCCTTTATTCTCCTTCTCTCCCTTTAATGTTCTGGAGAGGGGTTCAGATTGTTTTCCCTTCTCCAACCCGCCTCCTTCCCTCTCCACATCTCTGAGTAATCCCTCCCCGGCTCCGAACTCAAGAATCCACTTAGAGCAAAAATATCAAATTTCGGAAAAATATTTTCTTACTTCGATAAAAGATATAAAAAGAAAACACCATTTCTTCCTGCAAACATGAAAAAACTGCAAAGTCGTAAATGAAATTTCATAGAAAAATGTTTATTGTTTCAAGTTCTGTCTAATAAATCCTCGAATTTGTGTATCTAATTTAATTTCTCCCCCCCCCCTTATCCCAATTTTTAATTGTTTTTTTTATTATTAAAAACAGCTCCAGGTAGGAAAACAGTATACATAGTTAAAACTTCAATCTCATACTATGTAACACTATTTAATTTGATTTTTCAATAATTCCACAAAATATATACTACTTGAAGTAGTAACAAATACTTTACTTCACTCGTTCTAAAATGAATAGTAACAAATAAAACATTTCTTATGAAAATGCAATAAATAAACGACTTTTGGGAATACTTTCTTCCAAAACTTGACCCATGGGTGAAATTAAAATAATTATGGATATGTTTCTTTTTTAACAAAAAATAATTTCTAGAAACCCCTTATTTATTGTTCACAAAACGTTGACTGCATTTCATTTAGATTCCTCTCAGAACACTTTTCTGGTAAACAAACGTTATAAATATAATATGAGGGTTCTTATTGTATCTTCCTTGATCGGAAACAGGTTAAAAAAAAAAGATTTATTAAAAGATTAAACATTGTATAATGCATTCGGTTTCCACTATTTCAAATCAAACTCGTTTTGGTCTGTAATTCAACTATTTTTAAAATGCAAATGCCCACAAAAAAAGTATTCAAGAAAAAGGCGAAATATCTATGTTTAATGGGTCAAATTGTGATCGTAAGTCCCAGCTTTCTGGAATAAGAACAGAACCGTTAAATCCACGTGGGGTGTCCCTATTAACATGGGAACTGAGTGACTATTTCTATATCCTCTTAGTTCCGAGTGGCATTATTATGTTAAAACAATTTTTGAAATATTTCAAATTAAAACAATTAATAATTAAAACTACTAGTATTGGGAATTCTAAAATGTGGTTTACTATATTATGCACCTTCAAGATTGACGAAGATATTCAGAAATCTGTCTGATCTTAATTTATCAAATAACAATAATGAAATTATTCAAATGTTTAATAATAATTTACAAAGAAGACAAACCACATTTTTAAAGCTCATAAGACTGGACGTATTTTTTACTGCAATCTTTGTCATTTATCAATATAAACGGAAATCGAAGAAGATTTTCAAGTCGTCTCTTAATTCCCATGTTTATTGGGGCACACTATAAATGTAAAAATAATTTTCAAAATAATGTACATTGTACAATACACTAAGAATGTTCAGATCAAAAATATTTAAATTAACACGTGAGGCTTTTGTGCGTGTATATTGTGATTGAAGTCTTCTATATTTTTAATTTTAACTCCTTTTATTGAAGATCTGTTATCGCGAAGAACACAAATGTTTTGAGTTTCTTATATGTAACGGTATACGTTTTGCTCTTGTCATACTCCTGCATATAATCAAAACTAGAGGAGCTACGAGGTGACAAAGTCATAAAAACTTAAATTTTACCATCTCCTTCTGTTTATTTTTATTATTGTTCTATGTAATTATTTTTACTATTGCAGATATTTAAATAAATCAGGAAATCATTCCTAATTTTAAATTTAAAGATTGAAAACTGAAAAATAAGGATAAAACAGTTTGTTTATATTTCTACTTTTTAAACTGATCTTTTTGCTGGAAAAATCACTCCACGATTAACTTTTGTGGAAATACTAGAAATGTATATCACTTAAATAATAAAGATAGTTAATTAAGGTAGAAATATCCTGCAAAAAATATATATTAATGATAATAAAAGCAATTAATAACTGGAGATTTTCTCTCTGATTCTTATCAACCTTAGGATGAAAATATACAGTAGCGATATTTTCTTTTTAAGTACCTCGTCCGTATTAAGAGAGGAACCAACCCCTGAACCTTCTCCAGGTCCATATTTAATCCCTGGGATCTCTGGTTTCTTGAGCTCCGGGTTGTCCAGTACTGGATGGAACCTGGAGACATGAGCGTGCAGTGATCCACCCTTCTTAAACTAAACAACATTTGAAAGAAATCAAAGATGTTTTTTTAGCAGATTTAAATAAAAGGTTCATAAATAGTTAAAATAGTAGAACGAGTCATATTTGGTTAATGACCACATTAATACTTTTGTAGTTTTGATGCTTCTTACAGATATAATTAAACAGAGAGGTTCATAACGCGGCATTATTCTTAAATCCAGTTTTTTAGCCAGTACTTAAAAATCTCACTTGTATCTGAACAATTGATAAAAAGAAACAATATTTTGTTTTGGTACAACTACAATTCTATAAAAATGAATAGTCTGACTCTGTTTTTTCTATGTGAATTGTGCAACGTAGGTTTGAAGGCAAAAAGACGCTTTCAAGTCGTCATCATTCAATATATTGGTACTCCTTATGTAAGGCCAAGAATAACTTACTGAGCAAGGGCAGAAGGAACATTTAAAATCTAGATTAGCATCTCCTATGTCATGAACCCGCCGAATGTGCGTGCGCATGTTGCCGCGTTGGGAAAACCTAAAAAATATGAATATATAGATAGTAACATGTGCGTATAAAATTGTTCATTGAAATTACAGCACTGCTATTTGTACGGACAAAAAGTACAAATGTATTGCAACCTAATAACTTTATAATTGACAAACGAAGTTCTTAAATAGCTACCTAATCGGACAGAAAGTACACTAAAAAAGCTACCTGATCGAACAGAATATAAACTTAAACGGCTACCTGATCGAACAAAATATAAACTTAAACAGCTACCTGATCAGACAAAATGAACAGTTGAACAGCTACCTGATCAGCCAGAATGAACCTTTGAACGGCTACCTGATCAGCCAGAATGAACCTTTAAACGGCTACCTGATCGGAAAGAATTTACAGTGTACACTTGAACAGCTATTTGATCAGACAGTTTGTACACTTGAAGCATGAATGGCTAACCTGATCGGAAAAAAACTTACCCTTGGACAGCTAATTGATCTGTCAAAAAGTACACTTGAACGGCTACCCGATCGGACAGAAAGTACTCTTGAACGACTACCTGATCGGATAGAAAGTACTCTTGCTGATCGGATAAAAATTACACTTGAACAACTACCTGATCAGCCAGAATGAACCTTTGAACGGCTACCTGAACGGACAGAAAGTATACACTTGAACGGCTATCTGATCGGCCAGAATATACACTTAAACGGCTACCTGATCGAACAGATTATACACTTGAACGGCTACCTGATCAGCCAAAATGAACCTTTGAACGGCTACCTGATCGGACAGAGTGTACAGCTTATACTTATACAGCTACTTGATGGGACAGTTTGAACACTTGAAAAGCTACCTGATAGGACAGAATGTACCTTGAACAGCTACCTGATAGGACAGAATGTACACTTGAAAGGCTACCTGATAGGACAGAATGTACACTTGAACGGCTACCTGATAGAACAGAATGTACACTTGAAAGGCTACCTGATAGGACAGAATGTACACTTGAAAGGCTTCTGACCGGAGTGTTTCAGCTGGTGACTCTCAAGGCTTGTTAACTGATTGAATTCCTGAAAGAAACGAAATTTAATTTTTTTAACAAACCTTAGAATATTGTAACTCAATTTCCATTATTATTATTATAAAATGGTAACTGTGCATTTGTCTTATTTTTTCAAAAATAATTTTTATGAAGCTTGAATAAAACAATTGTGAAAATTTAAAAATAAAAATACTGTTTTTAACCCTCCTTGAACAGTGAACCTTGTGAACACCTTATAATATTTGAAAGAAAATAATTCATACATTTTCCTCTGAAGATAAAACTCATAATATTGTACCGCTGGACGTCAAATTATAGGTCTATTAGATTAAATCATAGCACCTCTATCAGAAGAGCAATACAAAAAAATTTAGAAATTTTAGCATGCAACCAGATAAATTTGTTTTTCTTAAACTTGGACCTAATATCTAGATTGGAGGAGCTACGAGTTCATAAAGTAATTTCGCTTAAATTTTTCATTTCTAGATTACATGCTAGATTTATAAAAAATACATTTGAATAATAATTATGGACGCACTGTAGTATAACTATTTATAACACTTTTATTTTGGTTCGCAGTGATAAAGTTTTTGGACAGAAATTTTCTCTTTATCGAGAAGGTTCAAGTCTTTTCAAATTTAATGTTGTCCCGAGCTTTAGCGAGGGACAAAATATAATAAGGCGAGAACCTTCGAAATAAAGAGAAAATTTAAGTCCAAAAACTTTATTGCACGTCGTACCAAAATAATAGTGTTATAGGTAATTTTATGAAACGTTTGTGTACTTGTCTTATTTCAATGCCTGTTTCTAGATCAAATAAGCTTTGAAATAAAGCAGAAGTCAAAAAAGAAATGATTTCAATTTTATTTTCATTTTAATTGAAAAAAATTATTTTGGAAATATTCTAAATTTTTCGGAGAAAATCCGGAAACCAATCAAAACTTTATAGCACACGTGTTTAAAAATGTACAGCTAATTTAACTTCATAGCACGATACTTACTTTATAGCAGTTTCATTATGAAATTCAAGATGAAGTGAGTAAGAATGATAAAGTACACAATAGTTTCATAAAATGTATACATACATTTTAGATCTACCTTAGAACATTCACTACATTTATACGGTTTGTCTCCTGTATGCACACGTTCATGCCGCTTCACCTAAATAAAATAAAGTCATTCCCTGTTACGAGATTTTTTTACTTAACCAAGCTGGGATCTATAGTCTTTAGGCCGTCCCCCAAGGATAGTTTTTTTGCATTCGGAAATTTAAGTTTTAAAAGAAATGTTAGCAGTTATTTCATATGAATAAAATGATCTAGTTCTTAAGAAAATTCTTTATTTCATATTTTAGTGTTTCTTTGAAACCGACAACGCTTTTATCACATTTTGTCCATGGACTTGAAAAACTTGAATAATGCTTTGTTTAGTTTTAAAATGTATTTTTACCTGACTGGGCTTACTAAACTTTTTTCCACAGAAAGAACAGGTATGTTTAAACTTTTCTCGACAAATTCCCCGTTTCATTTTCTTCCTAGAAAACACACAAAATAAATTCACATAAGAATTGATTTTAAAATTTTAAATTGCAAACAAGCAACAAAGTAATGTAAAACTGAAAGGTGTCTTTGTGCTCTCATAAAAAGCAACAAGTCGGTTTACACAAGCTTAATTTAAAAGCATGGTAAAAATCAGTTTACCTAAGCTGAATGCTGGATTTGAATTTAGAATGGTATTGCAGATGTTCCCTAATCCCAATCCACATTAGTTACATTCACAGGCGGCTTAAATCATCAGACATTTTGAGAATCTTTAAATATTTTTTTCTTCCAGGGCAAATTTTTAAAGCTGGCACCACATTCCCTCCTCCCACCCCTGACCATGTCAGGATATTGACATAAAAATAACGTTATGAAATTTCAGGGGGTTGGGATTTCCCTCCCCTGGAAAATATAGTAAATCTTAATTTAAAGAACATATTTAACTAATGATTTTCCTGTAGAACAAACTAGATCCTAGATTTTTGTCACAAATTTTACAGTAGAAACTCGGCCTGGCAGGCTCCTTAAAACCTTCTAAAAATTCAACGTATAATTCACAATTTTAAAAATAGTTTATTTGTTGAACAAATTTTACTAAATATTCTAAAATTGAGGATCCCAGTAAATTTTATTTTGATTGTCAGCTTTACTGAAAAGAAAAAATTGGAATTTCAAAAATTATGAAGACGACAATCATTCCGATGTTTATAGATTATCATTGGCTTATAAATTTTATTATATAGATCGTAGATCAATTTTATTCGTTAAATGAAGGAAACATTTAGAAAAAGAAATAATACCTTCCGATTCGGTTAATAGATTTGGTTCATTTTCGCTTTCATCAACGCACAACCCCACCAAACCATGCTTGCGGCGCACATGTGTCTCCAGCGCCATTTCTGTTCCAAACTCATCTCCACATCTAACAAGCATTGAAGTAAAGCGATGAATGGACCATGAATCACTCACAAACATATTCAAAATGCGAATTTTTTCTCGATTCTATTCTCCCCCCCCCCTTATCCCAATTTTTAATTGTTTTTTTTTTATTATTAAAAACAGCTCCAGGTAGGAAAACAGTAGACATAGTTAAAACTTCAATCTCATACTATGTAACACTATTTAATTTGATTTTTCAATAATTCCACAAAATATTTAGAATGTCTAAACTATTTATATTACACTATGCAGATTGAGAAATGTTTAGGAAGATTTCATACTGAGTGGTTTTGCATCTTATATCTTCCGTAAGATTTGACAATTTGAAAAAAATAAAAAAATACTTTTGTAAAATTCATGGATTTTTCTGGATACACCTGAAAGAACCTTTATGCGTTTAAAAACAGGGTCTACTAGGATGCCCCAAACTACCTGTAAGGTGATCACTCCCTTTAAAAAAAAAATCTTGATGACTTTAAGCAGAAGTTACCTAGGACAAGGGAGACTGTCATCCTCTTCATGGATTGCAAGGTGAGAGCGAAGACTAGCGATCCTAACAAATATTTTAAATTTAGTTAGATCTATTTACACCACTTATACAGCATACAATCTACATACATAAATATCATCAATATAAAAAGAATAGGCGGTTATGGTGAGGAGCAGTCAATGCAGTCCATTAACCCCCCCCCCCTCTAATAAAAATATGGGAGGAGTAACCCACCCCTTGATTTCTTAAACTTTGTTACTTTTCCTTTGTTTCATCCAGCCCTTTCTCTCTGTAAGACATACACATCTTTATTTGATCCAGAAAGATTTAGCTTAAATAATAAAAATGCATTTGCTCAAAAAGAGGAGGCCGGGGGGGGGGGGTAAAAAAAATAACAGAAAAGCCATAAAACCTTTGTACTTTTGCATGAATAAAAAATATTCGTTAAAAACGTCGTAAATTACGAGGATTGAACAAATCATTCTAACTTCAATTAAGATGGGGGGCTGGACATTTTTTAAATGCAACTTCTGGCTCCTTTCAATCTGGTTTACAAAATTGCATTAAAATACGTCATAAAAAACGGACGAAATCAAATGCCTAACATTACTGAAGTCAAAAAAGACCCAAGTTACCTGGTGAATTTCCTTCCGCATTCAGGGCAGTCTAGAATACTTCCTGTTTGGTGTTCTGATAAAATAACATGAACTTTAACCAATAAGGTGTTCTTATATGTGTACTGGAGAAAAGTATCAACATGTACTTTTGTACGATTGTTTATCTATTAAATATTATGTATCATGCAGGAAATTTAAATTTTTTTTCGTACCATATGTTCCCCATAATCTGGCAACCACTGTAAAATTTAAAAGAATAAAAATTGTAAAAAATTTCTAAATTGAGTTTCATGTATCCCTGCAGTATGGAGAAGTAAGTTCTTCTCCAGGTTAAAGGATTCCGTACACTGGGAGCATTTAAACCTTCGTTCTAGCAGGTGCACCTAGAGTAAATACCAATAACAATAACAATGATTGATATTTATAACAATGACGATAATAATAATGATAACGATGACGATAAAGAAAATGTTAATAATGATTTTTATGATAACAGAATTAAAAAGATTTTGTCTCAGAGTTGACAAGACAATCCAATTGCAGTTTCAATTTAAATGTAAAGCAATTCAATTCTAACGTGAGAAAAAAACTCTTTTTCTGTGAGAGTGATAAACCCATGGAACAGTTTGCCAGACTATATGAAAGAGTCTAAAACCTTTAACATTTTGAAGAACAGTTACGATGATCGTTAAAGAATACATCAAGAGTATTTCAAAAATGTCGAGCATATATAGTGAAAAATATCAAGTTTAAGAATCGCTTTTTATTACCAAAAATGGTATCTAAGCGAAACCAGAATATAACAATATAATATAACAATTTACCTTACAGTGCCTCTTGTATGCACTCCAAGCTATAAATACATTTTTACATATCTTACAAGCAAACGGACTCTTTCCTATAGGTTTATCTACAGTCTGATCCACTCCTTTAGGTAGACCTAAACATAAGAATAGGTTTATCTACAGTCTGATCCACTCCTTTAGGTAGACCTAAACATAAGAATAGGTTTATCTACAGTTTGATCCACACCTTTAGGTAGACCTTAACACAAGAATAGGTTTATCTACAGTCTGATCCACTCCTTTAGGTAGACCTAAACACAAGAATAGGTTTATCTACAGTATGATCCACTCCTTTAGGTAGACCTAAACATAAGAATAGGTTTATCTACAGTCTGATCCACTTCTTTAGGTAGACCTTAACATAAGAATAGGTTTATATACAGTCTGATCCACTCCTTTAGGTAGACCTTAACACAAGAATAGGTTTATCTACAGTCTGATCCACTTCTTTAGGTAGACCTTAACACAAGAATAGGTTTATCTACAGTCTGATCCACTCCTTTAGGTAGACCTTAACACAAGAATAGGTTTATCTACAGTCTGATCCACTCCTTTAGGTAGACCTTAACATAAGAATAGGTTTATCTACAGTATGATCCACTCCTTTAGGTAGACCTTAACACAAGAATAGGTTTATCTACAGTCTGATCTACTCCTTCAGGACGACCTAAATCAAGGGATGCATTTTGCATACTCTTCTTATGTCGACTTAAACACAGCAAACCGATAAAACCAATATTGAAAACATAACTGCTTGTGAAAAAACGGCTGACATTTTTTTTAACAATTACAAACCGTGAGATAGGTTTAAAAATGGGACAGTTTTCTTCCTCTGGCCTGAAACTGTGCCTGCTGGGTGAACGAAAAAAGAAAGATTAATTTTAAAATCTGCAAACCTGATCTTCTACCGAGTTCATCTTCAAGGTTTGTGACAAGATTTTTCTGAGAATCCAGTTGAACCTGGTCATCTTCTCCTTCATCTCTATACTCTTGAACTACTTGAGCTTGTAGACCTTCTTCATCTCCCTCCTCCTCATACAGACAGATTCTTCTACCATCTCCACCTGTAAACAAACAAAAGGACTGAAAGCAAAATTTCAAATGACCTTTCATTAAAGAAGAGTTTTCCCTATTCACAACAGTTCCTGTTAACCCTTTAAATGATCAAGGATATACTTTTACTTCAACGTCTTCATCTATAGAAACACTTGTAATTGTTGAACGCTTTGTTTGCAAGCTTTTTACATTTATATATTTACTTAAAGAAAGTACCGGAATGTAAATATTCAGTCGAACTTTTTTAACCACATTGGACAAACAATTTTTTTATTTTTTCAGGAATTATGTGACTTCAGCTGCGTTGAGTTTACACAGTACGCTGGCATACAATCCTTATTTACGACTTTTTACACAGCATTTCAGAGATTTAAACACACTGAGTTCTCTGTCCACGATGATCAGTCTAAGGTTTAAAAGGTAACGTATTAAATGGGGGATGTCTCTCTTTAAATAAAAATTCAGTTGAAATTATGCTTACAGTCTCTTTAAAGGAATTGTTCATTCTTTAAAAATAATTAACATAATTTTTGGATTAAGGAACTATATAATTCCTTAAGGCCAGAATGAAGTAATAATTATGACCAATGCGTTTTTGATAGAAAACGCAACAAACTCAAATTGTCTAATCCCCATTGCCCGGTTCATAGAACAAGCTGTAACTTGCTGTAACTGCGACTATGATTTCCAGACATAGCTCTGAGCTCTGATCTCAAAATTGGATCACACCTCGTTCATTAGTCTCAAGTCATAGCATTTGATAGCTGTGACTTCGAGTCACAGCTAAGCTGTAATCCAAGCTGCGAAGTCATAGCAATTTGACAGCTTAAATTGAAATCTTACTGGGCATTTGCACAAAAAGCGATCTCTTTAATAAAGTCGTCTTACTACAGCTCAGCTGTCAAGTCATAGCTACAGCTCGATCTATGAACCGGGCTCTGATCTTTGCAACATGTTGGTGTATAATGTACACTATGATACACTTGAGTTGAATTTTTTAGGTAAAATTATTTGCTTCTCAACAACATCAATAACACACATTAAATCACTTAAATGTCGTCTTCTTATTAAACAAATAAATGGGTCCTACTGTTTAAATATGTTTTAGCTTCTGCATCACCTTGCTGTAGAAGAATAGATTGGGTGCTCTCCTCTAGACCCTGTAGGGATGCCAGGGGGAGATCTTCAAGACCAGGGACCTAACAGATATCATTTATGATAATTTTCACCCAAAAGTTCATTTAATTTCCCTTAACAATCGTTTGTTTGGCAAAATTCAGCGAAGTTTTTTTGGGAAAAAAGTTCACTTGAATCATGAATTTCAACCGTTCACAACTGAGAGACCTTTAGTTCTTTGGAACTTCAACATCTATGAAAAAGTGTACATCTAGGGGATAAAATAAAAAAACAAATCATCAAAAATTTTCCTTAAAAAGTTATCTTTAAAATAAAGTGGCTCACCTGAATAAGCTGTCCTGTGTCCAGTGTCACTATGCTACCTAAATATACAGGGTGTGCCAATAAACATGAGGATACAGTGACGACATTAGAATCGTCTTAGATTTTTAAAATAATTTAGGACAAAGATTTAAAACATTCTCGTCATATTTAATTAAATAAAAATGGGACAAAATTTTAATTAAATAATTTTGGAAATCCCAGAACTTAGGAAACATGGTGTTAATTATTTCGATTGTGACTATATAGTAGAATGAGACTCTAAAATAGGAAGATGGCTTTCAAACTCCAGTTATAACTTTAAATGGTCCCAAGAATATAAGACGCCAACATTTGTTCAGTGTAAACAGACACATTTAACTTAAAAAGTCATTGTATATTACAAAAACAACTTTTTGATTTGAATCAATATCAAATTCACAAAAGTAGTGCTATAATGGCGTCTTCCTATTCCACAGTTTTCTGTTTCTTACGGCCCGATTTCGATTTACAAAAAAATGTCGCGTAGATCTAAGACGATTTTAAAGTCGTCACTAAATTCCCATGTTTTTTGGGACACATTGTGTTTACAAATATAAAACATTTTAACTTTTTATTTTCTTCATTGAAACGTTTTTACTATAAGTCTTGTTTTCAATAATGATGCGCTGTTATATTACTTTAACTATTGACATGTATGATGCAACTGAAATATTGATATTAGGAAATATTTTACGAGATTAAAAATATTTATTCTTTTTTACAAAAGTTAATTTTCTCAGTTAACACATTTTATATAACTTTTTTCCTATTTATTTATGAATATGAAAGTAATTTGTTTAATTAGGGGCTGAGGTATTTCAAACCCGCAGATGTATCTCGTTCTTAATCGATACCATTGATTATGTGGGCTCTTTATTTACAGGTTGTCCCACGAAACATGACATTTGATGACCGGTTTTGAATGTCTTCTTCCATATATTATATTCGACTTTTTGAATTTTTTATATTCTGATATGTGACGAATCTTATTAATCTCTTTGGTATTAAAGAACTTTACAAATTATGAAAGAAGACATTTAAAACCATTCACCAACGTCATGTTTCGTGGGACACACATTATGTGCATTTCATTGTTGTACTTAAATGGATTTTTCAGACATTTTGGGCAGGATGTGAGGTACAAGTTTTTGAACAGAAGATTAAAATAAGATTTATCTCAGGTTTAACCGATTCTTCCAAATCTAAATCAAAAAAGTTTTTTGTTTAAACTTTAAAACCTATTTTTTGAGACGACAGATTCGAACGTTAGTCAATTTTTTATGTGATCTAAAATATTATATATTACTCTTTAGCTTACCAAGCTAACACAAATGTTGTCAATAATGGTAAAATAATGAATATTTAATTTCTAAAAACAACAAAAATCGAGATCTGAGAAAAAATATTGTAAAAAAAAACCCCATGGTTAAATGTAGAAATATCTGTGAAACAATTTTAATAGCAATACTGAAAAATCTATCTATTGTTTCGCTAAGCAATACCAGTAAAACTTGGGAACAGAAAGACGACTTGAGCTGGGAACTTTTGAATGGTGGATATCGGGATCAAGGCTTAATCCACTCTTTTTCTTAATCTCCAGATTAACATAATCTTGCAAGATTATCCTAAAAGTGTATGAAAAACGATAAAATTCAAATTAATATTTAATCATCTGAGAAACTGTAGCAGCCAATCAGAGAAAAGGGGGCAACCAATGAGAGAACAGAAATATTCTCATTGGAGAAAACAATTAACGGATATCCAAGGAGAGAAAAAAAGAGTGGATTAAGGACTAAAATGAAAAGTTTCCACAGTGGATATTCGGATCAAGAAGTCAGGATTAAAGTTTATCCATTCTAAAGTTTTCAGCTCTGGACTCAATTTATGATCTTAAATATATTCAATGAATTTGAAACATGGCGAAATTGCACTTTCAAAAAAATTCAAGAATTCCTCCGATAATATAACTTCAGTTCTAGAGGCACATACTAATATTCGGATATCACATTATACTCATACATACGATTTGTTAAAAATAAATTGTTGAAATCATGGAAATGGCTGAGTTATGTTCCATTATTGAGAAAAAAAATATGTTAATTTGTATTAGAAATGTTGAATACATACTTGAATTAAAGGAAACCTTAAAATTACGTGGAAATAACACATTTCCTTTGGTAATACCTTAGTGTAAAGTGTCATTTTTTAGCAACCTCGAGTGGATATCTTCCTTTCTTTTACCTAACCTGACCTGATCATAATCACGAGAGGTTGCCGAAAATTCCATAATGACTATAATTTCTTTAAATGATATATTTACCTGGTGGCAGCTCTATGGTCTGTCCGAGACCATCTTCAGTATTATATTCATCTTCTTCTCCATGAAGTTGAACAGTGTTCTGCAGATGTTCATCTAGTCTAGTTTGTACCGAGGTTGCTTGGCCTGGACTTGAAACTATCGGGAACTGATTAGATCCCCCTCCACTAGAAACAAAATGCATGGAAGAAGAGCTCCCAAGGTTGGATAGGATTGAACTTGGTCCCCTTGTGGCACTCATAATTTGCAAAGAAACTGGACATTTTGAAAATAAATCATGATTGGTGAGAAGTTGGATTGGATTAGGTCCCTCTGCAGTGGACATTATTTCTATATCAGATGAGGCACTAGATATGGTTGATACTTTGGTGCTTGACATTATCTGCATAGGAGTAGGTCGGGTACTAGAGATCATCGACACTGGGATAGATTCTCTTCTGGAGGTCATTATTTGCTTAGGCATGATTGCATTCCCTAAACAAATTGCCAATAAAATATTCAGTAAAATAGCATTGATATACACTTCATATTAATACAAGAACAAAGACAAAATATATTATATTTCATGGTACCCAAAAATCGGAAAACAAAATAATCAGGGGTCAATATAATTCCCAAAAAAGCTGATTTTCTCGATCCCAAAATTATTTTTTGCCCCCAATTTTTAACAAAAATGCCCCCAATTTTTAACAAAAATGCCCCCAGTTAAAATTTTTTTTTCAAATTCCACTAACACATTTGCCCCCATGCCCCCAATTTTTAAAAAAAATACCCCCAGTTAAAATTTTTTTTTCAAATTCCACTAACACATTTACCCCATTGCCCCCAATTTAAAAAAAATGCCCCCAATTTTTTAAAAAAATGCCCCCAATTTTTTTTAAAAATGCCCCCAATTTTTTTTAAATTATCAAGAAAAATTTGCCCCCAATAAAAGACTTTGCCCCAATTTCTTTCAAATTTGTCAATTCCAAATGGGATTGAAAAAGGAATTATATTGACCCCTGAAAATAATCAGTAAATAATAAAGAAATGTCCGGATCCAGGATCTGGATCCGCATCAAAATTAGACGGATCCTAAGCACTGCCATGTAGTGAAGCCACAAAATAAAAACCAAGAACACTAACCTTCAGAAGAATGAGGGCTGCCGAGGAAGGTTGCGGAGGACAAGCTAGAGGATAACGTAAGCAACTGTCCTCCTATATTGACAACTTGACCTCCCATACTGACAAGTTGACCTACCCCTGTCACAAACTGAGGTCCCTCAGTGGTCAGATGACCTACTGACTCAACTGGGCTAGAATTGGACATTCTGCAGTCTTCCTTATCTAAAAAATAAAATATTTCAGTATGGATAATATTAATCAAAATATGTTTTTACAAATTTGAACCTTTAAATGTAAAGGCTATATACAAAGTTACTGTGTATACCCTATTAAGCATGCAACCAACAACGTGATTTCAGTATTTTTATATTAGATTTATCATCGTGTAGACTACATTAATGATAATTGTATATATTAAGCATGCAACCAACAATGTGATTTCACTATTTTTGTATTAGATTTATCATCGTGTAGACTACATTAATAATAATTGTATATATTAAGCATGCAACCAAAAACGTGATTTCACTATTTTTATATTAGATTTATCATCGTGTAAACTACATTAATGATAATTGTATATATTAAGCATGCAACCAACAACGTGATTTCACTATTTTTGTATTAGATTTATCATCGTGTAGACTACATTAATGAAAATTGTATATATTATGAAAATTGATGATAATTATATATATATTATGTGATTTAGTAAAAGTAGTAAAATGGAAAAAAAAATTAAGTTAAATTATTTACCCCTGGCTTTCTTTGGGGGGTGCAGGCGTCAGGTTAAATAAACAAAATTATTGCACAGAATTAGTTCCAAGACCAGGGACCAATAAAGTGTTTCCACATCCCTATACACCCCTTAACCCACAAAAATATAAAATGAAAAATGAAATAGAGTATAGTGCGTTATAAGGTTATATTTAAAAAAATGATGAATTTTATTATACCTATCTTTTACCCGCAATATCGTTGCAAGTAGAGATGTTAATTCAAAACCAAAATTACTTCTTACTAAATAACTATTATCAGGATTGTATCATGAAGCAATTCTTTACTCAAATATCTTCAAACTTTAGAATGTATGTTTTTCAAACAATTTGTGTTTATCTATAAGGAGTAATAGGCTTTTTCCCCGAAAATCTGAAAAGTTAAGTTTAACTATATAACCAAATAAACGCACTCAACTCTACATGTTCTCATATGAAAAAGGGCAGCTAGTACAAAATGACAGCTTTAGAAGCTGTTGTGGAAAATTACTGTGAATGTGGGACTAAGGGAAAAAAAATGAAACAAAAAATGAATGAGAATTTGAAAGGAATGCGAAGGTCAAATTGAAAAATTGTTTTAATGTAAGTTTGCCAATTCAAGTGACTAGTTTACATTTTAACTTAAAAGATAATATGGAATTGGAAACTGAGCTAATGGAAACCGACTTAAAGTTTATCCGAACTAAAATTGTCGATTAAATTATTTTAAAAACCCAAATAGGATTTAAATGGACTCTCCATTATAACTACGTCTAATTTTAGGTTATGACAACCAAATATTTTTAAAAATTTTTCTTTAGAAAGAAACCGGCTTGATTATTCACAAACGGAACGGGGAATTTCTGTCCACGCTATTGGATGAGCTTTAAATTGCGTCGTACGCAGTAGTAAAATCTGACACAAATTCTTGCGTAATTCTGAATGACCACGTTTCAGAAACTCTATTTGCTTCCTTTACTTGACATTTACGCTTCTTTGCGTTAAATGAATTAAAGATGAACATGTTAACATGTACGCTTCTTTTGCGTCAAATGAATAAAATATAGAAGAATGTTTGAATTGAAATGGAGAAAGCCAGGTGCAGTAAGTTCTAAAACTGTCTTGACAACTTTAGTTCTTCTTGTTCTACTACACAAATCTGTACTAGAGACAAGGTTAGTCTTACTCCAGAAAGCAATAAATATATATGTATATATGTACAATCTGTTAACAGTTTATACCAAGCACACTGTGCATGTACATTGTACAATGATCAAGTGGAGGGTTTAATTGTAAACGAGCGACATTTTTTTTACATGCAAAGCAAGCGTGATTTCGTATAATCTAACAGATTTAGGGAGATTTTAATATATGGAAACGGGAAGTGAGAGAAAGCAGAGGAAAGGGCTGGGGGGCAAAAAGGAGAAGAGAAATATTTCAGATAAGCGGAAGAACGGAGAGAAAATTTAAAAACGAGAAGAGGTAAAAAGGAAGATATGTTGTAGATGGGAAAGTGATAAGTGGAGAAAGAAGCGTGATATTGTGGAGAACGAGAAGGACATTGCGGAGAAAGGAGGACGATATAGAAGAGAAAGAAAGAAGATATAGTGAAGAAAGATTAAATATAGAGTGGAGAAAGGAGAGGAGGAGGAAGATATAGTGGAGAAAGAAGGAAGATATAGTAGAGAAAGGAGGAAGATATAGTAGAGAAAGAAGGAAGATATAGTAGAGAAAGGAGGAAGATATAGAAGAGAAAGAAAGAAGATATAGTGGAGAAAGGAGGAAGATATAGAAGAGAAAGAAGAAAGATATAGAAGAGAAAGAAGAAAGATATATAATAGAGAAAGAAGGAAGATATATAGTAGAGAAAGAAGGAAGATATATAGTAGAGAAAGAAGGAAGATATATAGTAGAGAAAGAAGGAAGATATAGTGGAGAAAGGAAGAAGATAAAGAAAAGAAAGGAGAAAGATACAGTGAAGACAGATTAAAGAGGAAAGTTGTAGTAGAGAAAGGAGGAAGATATAGTGGAGAAAGAAGTAAGATATAGTAAAGAATAGAAGGAAAGGAGTGAAATATAGTGGAGAAAGGATCGGGAGACATAGTGGAGAAATAAGAATGATTTAGTACAGATTATAAACGGATACAGTGGAGAAAGAAGTATGATCTAATGGAGAAAGCATCAGAAGATATAGTGAAGAAAGGAGGAACATTTAGTGGAGAAAGAAGAAAGATATCGTGGAGAAAGGAAAACGATATAGTGGAGAACAGAGTGATATGAAGGATAAAGAAAGAGTGGTGAAAAGAAAGTGATAAAGTGGAGAAAGTAAAAGGTATCATTGGAGAAAGAATAAAGATATCCTTGAGAAGGGAGGAAGACATAGTGAAGATAGTAGAGTGATATAGTGAAGAAAGAAGATAGTAGAGAAAGGAGTATCATATCCTAAAGAAAGAAAAGTGATATAGTGGCCCACCGCCTATCACCTCCCCCCCCCTAGTTGCGCCTCTTTTAGTAGGAATACCGAGATAGAGAGAAAATGAACGAGAGAGGTAGTGATAGAGGATGCGAGCAAGCGAGAAAGCGAGAGAGCGAGAGGAGAAAGATGAATGAATAGATAGTGAATTGAATACAAGCTGGATTTATCCGGTATTGGAGGGATGGTATGGCCGGGTTTGCCTGAGAAAGGACCGCTCTAGGTCCTTTCAAGCCTCCAAGTTAGGACTCTAGGGGTGTACTCAGAAAAACTTTTATTAAGGGGAATTAATTAAGTTAATAAAATGTAAACATGTATAAAATTAGTAGCAAAAAAAATATTAAAATGTCTTACATTTTTAATATTTAACCTTTCTACCCCAACCCCTCAGAATAAAAATAAAAAGAATGTCCACCCCTCCCCCCCTCCCCAACCCTTTATTCTCTGCACCCCTGTCTCTGCTTCTGTATGAAAATATAAAATGATTCTATACTTCACAATTTTACCAGTGTTACAGAGACTGCAGCTACAGTAGGTATAAACACACACACACAGCTCTCAACCAGTATATAACTGGTTATTTACCTGCATCTACAACTACACACAAATTATACATGTACACTTGTACGCATTTTAAGCACCTTATACGCATAAATTTATCAACACAATTTCGGGTGTTTAGTTAAATAATATTACATATAAACTTCCCAACCAAAAATGTAAACATAAAAAAAAACCAATATATATACAGTTAATGTTCTAAATGTTTTTCAGTATCTATACGTTTCAAATTGGTCTATAGAAACAATAATTTGATACTAAAATTCGTGTTAAATATACTATTAAAACATAGTTTATTGTAAAGCTAAAAATACGTGGTTTGGCAATATAGATTCATAACAAAAGTGTTAGAGCAATATACTTTCATACCATAGTTTAATTTAAAGCTTTAAATAAGTCTTATGGCAACAAACTTTCATAACATATAGTTGCAAAACATAGATTATTGTAGAATTATAAATACGTCTTATAGCAATATAGTTTCAAAACATAGTTTATTGTAGAACTATAAATACGTCTTATAGCAATATAGTTTCAAAACATAGTTTATTGTAGAACTATAGATACGGGTTATAGCAATATAGTTTCAAAACATAGTTTATTGTAGAACTATAAATACGGGTCAATATAGTTTCAAAACATAGTTTATTGTAGAACTATAAGTACGTGTTATAGCAATTTACTTCCATAACATAGTTTAGCTGAACCAACATATTATATGAACTTAACAAGTTATATTTCATTTCGTAATATAATTAAGTTCAGAGCTATGAATAATTCCTTTTTACTTTCTTAATATATCTTAGTGTAAAGATATATTTAAAAATTTTAAGCATACTTAGCGAGAGCATTATTAACAGTTAATAATCAGATAAGAATTACAAAAATTGGATTTCGGAGAACTTTATTCATTCAGTGCTTAGGATCGATTTAATTTTGAAGCGGATCCGGATCCTGGATCCGCACTGAAAAAAAATGGATCCGGATCCAGGTCACTTCTTTAAGATTACTAAATTTTTTTTAACAAAATAATTTTAAAATTTTTTGTTTTATTTTTTCGCTTATTCTTATTCTAAAACTTGATAAACCATTCAGAAATGAGGAAATTTTTATAATCTTTCTTTTTCCAAAAGTTCAGATTTGGGGTTTAGGATCCGGATCCAGGAAGCCAAAATCTTGCGGATCCAACAAATCCGGATCCGGATCCTAAGCACTGTTTTATGCTTGACAAACCGTATTTACCACACTTACACTACATATTACCTAATTTACATTGATAGATTAATATGACAAGTTTCAGTACCCTCCCCCCCAGCCTTTTCCAAGTTTCCCCCCTCTCCGACCTAAAACACTCTTCCTACAAAGTTTTCTCATTCCCACAAACCACAAAAAAAGTTGTAACAAAAAATAATATTTGAATGAATAACAAGTCGTGGTAAATGTCTACTGTTTAACTCCGAATGCTAAATAAAATAACATAAAATATTCTAAATCCAAATTAAATTAGATACTACTGGTTTATTCCAGATTAATATTTAAAGAAACTCAACTAGGGTCAGATTAAGAATCTTACCAGTCGTGTTCAAAGGGATTGTGAGCGTAGTTTCAAGTGACTCTCGATGCAAAGATGACAAGGACAGATTTACAATGGTACTCTTGAAAGCATTGTCTAATCAAGTATCAATAAGATATTAATGTTTTTGCTTCATTAAACTGTTTATTTTCATGTGCATTTCTTGTTTAAAAGAAATAATGAAGAATCTCCCAGAATTTAACACTTTTCTAATCAGAAAAATGAGACGGCATCTCCCACATTTTAACAGATTAAAGTTTCAAGCGTACCGTTGTAAATTGCCAGTGGCATCTTTTAATGGAGGGTTATTTAGAAAATTCTGATATTTTTTCCCGCAAACTTTAAGAAAATGAAGAGTTGGAAACTTTTGATTGAACGGAATGAATTGAACTGATTCTAGCTCTCTTCGCGGATAAATTTATTAGTATCTCAATCGCACAAAGGTCAAACTTGGATTTGACCAATGAGAAATCATATAATCTTCCTAGCTTAAGAGATAAACTCATTTCATTCCATTCAGAAATTCAGGATTTTTTGGGTCTTATTCAAAAATTCTTGGGTCTTATTCATTTCCATTTTTCAGGCAGCGATGAGATTGGAATGCGATAACTTCCTAACTAGGCTTGAGAGAATCAACAATTTTAAACTAGATCTCAATAATATTCATAGATATAAACCCTTCGTATGTCAGGGTGTACAGGTAAATATAATAAACATCAAACTTTTTTTCTTTAAATAGAAAATTAGATTTTTTATTGTAAGCAAGGATTATAGACCAGGAATCTACATATCTTTATTTACAGAACAGTACTGCAGTTTCTCAAGGGAATGTGAGAACTTAGGGAGGCCCTGTTTGTGTTTTATATTTCTTTCTATTTTATCTTAAAACAAAAATTTGGGAGTACCTGGTTAATATGCCTTTGTGCTGATTAGACTGCGTTTGTTTGGATTCCTCTTATAAACAAAGATTTGTAGATTCCAAGTGTACATATTCCATGGTTTATAATGATTTTTTTCATAGGTCGGGCTTATATCTGAGGAGGTGTTAAGCGTACTGCTGAACTATCCAGAAGTATTTTATATCTCTGATACAGGGGTCACCTTCAACAACCATATTCAAGGGTTTACACAGTGTAGCCAGGTAAAAGATATCCCTACATTTTCACAATATCAACATTTTTGGGGATTTATCACTGATTTTGGAAAATAAATGATATTTGCTATGTACAGTTTCAAAAAAAGGATAAAACTTTAACTTGTTTGCTTGTTTTACATTTTGAAAATTTTTACTGCTTGCAGAATATATGTAAACCAAAACAACCAAAGCGTTAAAAAAAGAATTATAAAAATCAGATAGTTTAAAAAATTACTTATTTTCATGCTTTCAATATAAAAAATCATTTTGAGAACAATTTTAATAAAAATAAATTTAGTAAACAATTTTAAAAGAAACTTTTGTTCAGGCATTGAGTGCAGTTCTTGATCAGCTTCAGAAAGAAAAAACCTTCCCTTGCCTCAAAGGTTGGAGAAACGAATGCTATGAAATTTCCGAAACCTACGGAAGTGAACGATTATTCGAGATTGAACGTTGTGCTGCACCTTTGTTCGGAATCCGGAAATACGGCGTACACATCAACGGCTATGTAAACCACGAGGAGAATGGGATATCCCTCTGGCTACAACGTAGATCCTACTCAAAGCAGACCTACCCAGGGAAAATAGGTAATGTTCTCTCAACCGTTTCCAAGCGATTAAAATATCGCTTCTTTAAAGACTAATATCTCATCATTATCTTAAGTTTTAAAATACAGTTGGTACTTACATATTCCTTCTAGCCTGCTAGTGACGCTTCATGTTTAATCTCATTTTTTTCTGAAAATAGTCAATTATTGAGATTTGTTCCAAGTAAATATTAAAATCTATGAATGTACTGTAAAAGTTGTAAATTAAAGAGGGGGATGGAGTGGTCACAGATGAGGGGGGTGGGGAGCTCAGCCGGAGACTACAGATTTAGATTTTTCTCCCTTCTCTTCATCTTCTTCATCTGAATCTGAATCTGATAGGTCGGATAATCCCTCCAGTCCGTCCCCAATCCATAATCCGCGCTTCTTTGGAGGACCTAAATCAACCTTTGTCATTCAAAATCTTTTTAAATATTTTATCTTTCTTTGAAATACCTGCTGATGCCTCTGTTGAACCTCGCTTGCCCAGCTTATCCTCTTGTTTAGAGGAGGAGGCTGCCGAGGCTACTGCCATCGCGGCCTCAACAGCATCATGAACTTTCTCCTCGGTCTCAGAACGAACCTATAATATAATTTTTAAATTTGAATGTCTATTAAGGTTTTTATCTATTTATGGATGGTTGAATATTATTAATCTTAAAATTTTCTGCCAACCTTGTCATAGGCTGGATCACTGAAATCATGTTTACACTTATTTTCCCCGGCAGCAATTCGCCTAAAAAATGAAACAATGAAAAAATAAGTACAAAAAAAAATCCAACAAATTTTAGTTTTTAACTTTTTCACCTGAGTTTTTCTAGTTTTTTCTCTTTATTCTCCTCTTTAACCTTCTCCCTCTCAGCTGTTCCTGCAATGTATTCCTTCAGCCGACGCTCATTGTTAACATCCCTCTGCCGACGCCCAGATAGGTCTCGCATAGCCTGAATATTGGGGACATTGAAGGAAAACAATATTTGTCAGAATTAAAATGTGTTATTTTCGAAAAATAATACAAAAAATGTCAACTTTGTTCCATTTTTTTGGCCGGCATTTAAACATTTTTATATTCCACCTCATGGTTTGTTGTTCGCTCTATCTGTGCTCCGATGGACCTCAACATGGATCCGAATCCGCCTTTTCCTCCGACCAGACCATCTGGAACATTTAGCTTTTAATTTAGAGCGGGATATTTTTCTGAAAGTTTCTATTTAAAAAAAAATAACTTTTGTTCTCCTGATATTTTTAATATTTTTATCCTGTTTCCCCTGCTGAGATGAAAAATAGTTAAAATTTACCTTTTGGTATGATGTACAGGGTAACATTATCCAATTGTGAATCATAAAATTCGACAACTTTTCCATTTTGTTCCAGTCGGACAGCTAAAGGAAGCTGCTCCTTTGCCTCTAGAGCATCAAGAGCATCCTGTCCTGTTTTTACTCCGTCAAACCAGTATAGGGCCTGCTGGGGACTTTTTACAAACATCGTTCTGAAAAATAATTATTTAGATAACTTTGTCGGCGGAGCTTTGACGGAAGGGCGGAGTGTATTTGAGACAGCTGTTAAAGAGGGGGCGGAGGAGGCAGGTCTTACTGAACAACTTGCGGCAGGTATAAACAATTTTTCATAAATATTACAGAAAACACTTTAACAAATAAAAAAGATTTATTTAAGTCTAAAAATAGTATGTATGTGGGTCGAATTAATCTAATAAATGCTATATTCATGCTAAAATGAGATTTTAAAGGTTTGAAACCGTGTGGCAGTATCTCCTACATGCATCAGTCCGAGCGAGGGATTCATCCTCAGACCGAGTTTGTGTTTGACCTTGAGCTCCCGCAGCAGTTTGTCCCGGAGAACCAGGACGGAGAGGTTCAGGACTGGATACTCTGTCCTGTTTCAAACATTTTAGATATCATAACCTCGGAGGTAAAAATTTTTTTTTTTACTAAAGAAAAACAACAAAGGTTGTAAAAATTTGTTTTACTAACACTCTTAAAATAAATAATGACGAAAAAATTATTAATCGTGTCCTTACATTTTTTGAATACTTCTTATTTTTTAGGATTTTAAAATGACGAGTTTTCCGGTAGCTCTGGATTTCCTAATACGGCACGGATTCATCAATATCGAGAATGAGCGAAATCTACCAAAAATTATTGAAATGTTGCACACCCCGGTACATACCCTGTACAATGCCATACAAGAGCCACTGTTAAATTCCCAAGATTCAAGTTTTTAAACTTATTTTATCCTCCGCTTCTCAGCTCAGTGCACAAAGCCAAAGATAGCTGCTAAAGCGAGAAAGCTATGGCAGTACTTACATTTAAACCTTTGCTTCCAGATGACGTAAATTATATATTATGTAACTTATTACGTATTCCTCTACTCCAGTATTGTAGTAAATTATTTGAACGTATGTAAATCTTGATATTTTTCAAATTTGCATTTGTGTGCTTTAGCATTTTTAAGTTTTAACCTGTAAATTAATTTAGATTTACAAAATTTTTGAAACTATATAATTATCTTGTTTGTTTGATATATAATGATCTTTTTTGTTTAAAACCAATGATAACATATATATTTTATTACATAGAATAAACTACGAAACATGGTATTCTTTTCTTGCCAGTTCACATAGAATGATATCTAAAGAAACTTTTTTAGCAAGAACGAAGGAGTATTTATTGTTTTTACTTTTGAAATTAAGGTTATAAAAACTCTGAAGTAAAAAATGTAATGTAAGGTTAGGTGGTTTATAGCTGTCCGGTTTTCTTATGAAAGGCCTTCGGACAAGGAACTTGCAAATCTGCAAAAATTGCAACTATAGCATGCAATCAATTCGCAGAATACATAGGGATTGGCATGAACTGGATTCCTATCTCAGACCAGGATAGGATTCAACCAACCTGCCAATTTTAGATATTTGCATTTAGGTAAAATAAATTTAAAGAAACAGAACAGTGAACTTTTAATTTCTAGCCCCTATGTTTTTGCAGCCTGAAGGTGCAAACCTTCTATATTTTAAACTTTGAGTATTGGATCCAGCAGAAATTTGAAATCTCAAAGATCTATGACATCAGGGTGGGAGAGATTTGTGGATCAGAGTTTGAGTCAAGTAGAATAAATTATATGCCATTTTAGATAATAACATAAAGCAAAAATAAATTTAAAAATTTGAAATCTACAAACTCAAAAAAAAACCCCAAAAAAATTTTAAAAGATTGCTGAAAGGGATTTTAAAAAAATTTTTAATACTTTTTTAAAAAGTTTACGGCGACCTTATTAAAAATGAATTACATGGATACTGTATTTATAATGCGCAAAGAAAGGGTATTATATAAGAACTAGCTTGGGAACCCAGCACTGCCCAGGTTACTAAATAGTTACTCCTACCCTTTACGCAAAATTGGACGTTTTTACCGGGAAACTAAATTTTCGTTTCAAAAGTCGACCCACTTAACTTAGAATCTCAAAACCAAGCTAAGAACATTCCCGTGGTTCTCCCAATTGTTCCCTAACCAAAATTTGAAGCAAATCGGTCCAGGGGTTTCTGAGTTATGGTCGGACAAACAAACAAACGAAAAAACAAACAGAGATTACAACTTTATAAGAATGCAATGATTCGATTGAAACTAAGCCCAAAGCTATAAAGCACGGGGGCATGAGCTCCCCCTTTTTCCCAAGAAGGAGGGGAGGGGTGCACAAAATCAAAAAGTTGACGAAAGAAAGAAAATCTAATCTAAAAGAAATCTAATTTTACGTTTACAGAATCATTTTTTATTGTATATGTAAATGAATAGAGTTTTTAACCAATTATTACGTTTTGAGAAACTTATTTTTTTTCCTTCTGTAAATAAATTAAAGAGTTTAATAACGTATCTTGCAACAAAAAGTAAAAATATGGAGAACAATTGAAATCATAAATAAAATTAGCTGAAGCTATTTGTAAAGAAAACAACTTTTAAAATGTCCTTAAAAAATGCTGACACGCTTCGCCCAATTTTTCGAAAGTTGTCTCTTATTCTAATTGTTTTAATTTTTCCAGGGAGGCTAAAGGCAATATCCTCCTCTCAAATATTTGCCACTGAAGTATTGGAAGATTGGAGCTATTTAATGAAAAACAGTGCTTGACGGGAAAAAATCTGTTTTACTTCAATTAAAATTGATTAATAATATATTTTTAGTTTTAGATTTAACTAAATGAATTAGATTACAACTTTTTGAGGAGTTTCTAATTATATCTACAATACCAGAAAGTCACGGTATCAGAAATTAATTTGTTATAACTTATAAGTTTATAACAGTTCTTTGCTAACTACCTCAATTGTTAAGTAAAAATGAAGGAAAATATCAAAATAAAATAATCTTTAAATTACACTGTTTCTCTGGGCAAACTGAATTCCTGTGTATTAAATGTGAAAGTTAAACCAACTATAAAATGCCATACAACACCAAAAACTATGATTAATTTACCTAATATCTACATTCTTGCCAGCAGTGGGCCGATCAGAGTGATCAAACTTATCTACAGTTGACTAAAATCGACAAAATGAAAGTAAAACATATGGTAGGATGACTCAAGAGGTAACTGTGTACTGCTAGGAGGCTGATCTGAGTGCTCTTACGATTTTTTAACCCAAAAAATGGGACTCTTCTAGCTCCAATTACTTATTAATCAACAATCAATTTGTAAATTTTTTGACAAGATGACCTTTAATGTACCTGCAGGCTACTAGCGCGCCAAACACACTGCCCCAATATTCATTTTTACCTTGGATATTTAATCCTTGTGGCTAATTACCTATATATTGACATCCAACATAAAAACTCTGTGCTAAGATGACCCATAACGTAATGGCTGGCTACTAGCACGCCGGTCAGAATGCGCAAATGTCAATTTTGACCTCGGACATGATATTCATAGTCTTAGTTTTCCTTTATTTATTCGTATCTCATGCTACTTGTATTCTTAACTAGGTGAAACTTAAAAAATAAGAATTCATTAAAATGTTCTTTTATTACACACTTAAGCGCGGAGATTTAAAGCTTTGGAAGTAAAACAAAGCCGCAACAGTAATGTCAAATAGATTCGACCCTCTCTTTCTGTTTTGTTTACAGTATAATCTCTGTTTTTCTGTCTAATTGTTTGAATGTTCGATCATAACTCATGAACCACTTCACCTATTTGCCTCAAACTAGGGAAAACCACAAATATTTTAACCTTGGTTAAAAGCTTCTGAATTGAGGGAGTTGGTTTTTATGGGGAAAACTTAGTTTCTTGGTAAAGCTAGGTTCCCAGGCTAGTGTTATAAATAATTATTCCTAAAATAATAAGGGACAAATACCTCGATATATTTCATGTTATTTTCGGTTGATTAGGGTTGAGACAATTTCTAGGACGAGCACTTTGGCTAAAGCAGGCTAAGGGGCTGATGTAATTCCCTGTAAAATTGTTGGTAAAAGTCATAGACGCCATTTATAGTTAATGTAAGGATAAAAATGTTCTAAGTAAGAAATGTTTATTCATATGAGTTTTAATATGTACTATCAAAACTAAAATAAAAATGTAACCTTTAAGAAAATGTTAAATAGAGGAACTTTTATTTGTTTATAGTAAATGAAATTAAATACAGGGTATACATTTTGAAAAATATCCCCCCCCCCCCGAAAACGGATTTTCATAGCATTGGGGGGTGGGGTGGGGTGGGGGGGATAAATAATTTGGATATTAACTGGAAACATATTTTTATACACTGGGGATGGGAAATGTTTTAAAAGTGGGGGATTGCTTTTTAAGAAAATATATATCCCGCATAAAATGTCATTATAATACAGTGAGAACCAGATAACTCTGGAATAAAAAGACGACCTTGAAGCAATAATTAACTTTATTTGATGGTATTAAAAAGCAACTAGTTTCACAAGATAATTAGTAAATCACTTATTGAGTGAAATGGGGGTTGTTACACTGCACATTTGATGTCTCTCATGTTCATTAGACTATTTTAAGAGAAAATAATTTGAGTCTTAAACTTGTCTTTATATTCTGGATCTCACTGTAAGTGTAGAGAATGTAACATGCTGTTACTTCCAGCAACAACTTAGCAAGTACTAGAAAATAAATTTCCTTGGAAGCCAAACGATGTCAAGGGGAAAAAAATATGAAAAATAAGCTAAACAGCTTGTGGTTTGGGT